AAGCTTTTTAGAAAATTAGTGTTCACATCTATCTTCAGGTATATAACAATTCTAGAAAAGAAGAACAGTACTTTATAGTTTTCCAGTCTTATTACCACAGAGAAATGACACTCAGAGGGGTTTGGAATAATAGACATGGAGCTAGTCAACTTGCACTTCTGCAGTGTTATCAAAACTAGAATACTAAGAAGTGCAAAATTAAAGAGTGATTGACTAAACAACTTTAAAAAAGAAATTAAGTCCATACAGCACATGGTATTGCCTGAGTATATCTCTTGAAACCCTAAATGGTTACTTGATCTACCATTTGGGAGTATAGAACGTTAGGCTCAAAGATCAAAAAAATAAAATAAAATTGGACAGAAAAGGTGGATTTTGATTTGAGTACTAGGAAGAACTTAATAGGAGAGGTATTAATATGGTTTGAATGTTGAAATGTGGTTCAACTCATGTTGCAATTTACTTGCTGATGGGAAGAGGACCTTTAACAGAAATCATGTGAATTCTCACTCTCAGAAGCAGACTGTTGACCCTTATCAGGAGTCAGGCAGATGCCATGCCTTCCTGGCCTCTGGAACTGTGAACCTAAATAAGCCTCCTTCCTTCATAAATTACCACCTTCCATTACTTTGGGTACAGCAATAGAATGTAGCTGATGGGTAACCTATCTACAAAAGAGAATGTTTGATGGATAGATTGATTCTAGTTTCTAGCAATTTTAGCCAAAAGTGACTAGGATGTAAAGTTCTTATCTGGGAATGTCTGAGGTCAAAAGCCACAGTAGAGTAGTAAGCCAAGAGTGTGGCCATGGAAGGTCCCAGAAGTGCCCAGGTATCCTCTCCACCTGCCATTCAATACCTAAGATTCCATATCAGACAATCATCCCTTTACATTGCTGTTCTTTCTCTGATTACCCTCTGAAATTTCCAATGCTGCTCAAAGGAGATTTTAATTTTTGGACTCATCCATTTAGAAATATCCCTTACCAAGAACTCTGCTAAATGTTGGGGATATGTCACAGATATACCAGCAATAAACAGACATGGCCTCAGCCTTCACAGAGCTTACACTTTAGGAGGAAGGAGGAGATGAAAAATAGCTGCACAGATCAGTGAATTACCTCTTTATAATTGTAATAAATTCTGTGGAGTGTTATTTCCTCCATCTCGAAAACAGGCACAAGTAACAAGTTGCAGGTATCATTCAATATAGTTAAAATGGCAAGTAACCATGATTTTGTTAAACCTGTAGGTGTGCCTAGTACTTTGGACACATCTTTTTCAATTCATCTTTGCAAGAACAATTTTTATTATAATTATCTTTAGTTGTACAGGGGTTTCAATTGAACATGTTTGTTTATGAGTACAATGCATCTTAATTTATGTTATCCCTTTCATCATTCTCCCCATCTCTTCCAAAGGATCCTTTACAATAAATTCTACTGCTCTTCCATAATCACATGCTGATTGTCTTCTTTTTTTTGTTTTTTGCCAGTCATGGGCCTTGAACTCTGGGCCTGAGTGCTGTCCCTCAGCTCTTCAGCTCAAGGCTAGCACTCTACCACTTGAGCCACAGCACCACTTCTGGCTTTTTTCTGCTTATGTGGTGCTGAGGAATCGAACCCAGGGCCTCATGCATGCAAGGCAAGCACTCTACCACTGAGCCACCTTCCCAGCCCCTGATTGTCTTCTTGTAACCATTACAGCAAGCCTGAAAGGAGAGATCTTTTCATTTTCGTTGACAAGAATACCTTTGGAGCTTGATACTTCAGTGGCCTGGAACTTGCTCTTTCTCTCATTTGGCTATTGTACTTTCTCCTCCCAGGAGCTCAGCTCAAACTGCTCAAAATGACTCATTCACCCATTTCCTGAATCTGCCACATCTTGTCAGTTGGCAAATTCATCTGATTGCATTGCCTTAATATCTACCAAATCCATCTTTTGTTTCTCGTGCCTTCCACTAGATCATGTTCTTGTGACTAAATTGAATTGTTATAAAAAACTTTTTAAATGATCCCTACATCCACATTCATCCGTCATACAGAGGGGAAATAAAAGGTCCAGTTTTGTTTATCTCCAGATTCTAAGCACTTAGCCCAGAGTCTGAAGCATGAAAGACAGGCAGTGAGTGTTTATTAAATGAAGCTTTGTTGTACTGTGTCTCTCTTCAGAAGTCTGTACTGGTTTCCTAGTGCTCCCAGGCTGAAGCTATCCTCTGTCTGGTGTCACTGTACTTCAACCTTCTTCCTACCTTATTTATCATGCAATTCAGTGATACATGATACATTCTTTTTTAAACTATTCATCACTGGCTTGATGCTCCCTTCCTCCAAACCTTCATTTGTCAAAATTCTACCCATAATTTCAGACCCTGCTTCATATCATCTCTGTGGGACCTCTTCAGGTTATCTATTGTAATAATTGGTCTTTTTGTTCTTAAGCTCATAGTGACTTAATAACTTGATTATAATGAAGTTTTTTTTTTATAATTCCTGAGTGGACAGGATTTCAATTTAAATGCCAGTTTTGTTAACTGCCTGGAGAATTATATAGGGAAAGATTATAAGGATTTTATTCTTAGGGTCCTAGTGATTAGAAAAAAAGAGGAAAGGAACTAAACCCCATTAGATGTCACAAGAGAAGAGAGAACAAAGTACCAATGGCCAAAACAACTTTGTTATAGATCCTTATATACATTTTCACTCAGGTTGATCATGTGTTCTTGAAAACATCTATTCTGTACCCTAATACAGTGCATGTTCAGTTTATGCTTTTGCAAACTATTAACCAGTTTAAAATGGATCCCATATAAAATGATAAGTTTGACATCCATTTACATGCTTGGATATGACTTCTGAAGGTGTGAAAGGATACATCCCAAATTGCCAAGCTGTTTGAAGGTTTGATACAAATTATTATTGTTGATTTTTTTCTTTGTTAGCATTCAAACCTAGGCAGGGCCTTGTGCATCCTAATAGGTGTTTTATTACTGTCTAACTAAAAATCAAAAGCAGTTTACAAATTAATATTAACAAAACTGTAAAAACTATTAAAGTTCAAACTGACAGCAACAATTTATTATAACAAACTAGTTTTATTATATGTGGAGGCAGGTTCTCTATATTATACAACCCAATTTTATAGTTTGACTTCAATGAAGAGTAATGTAAAAAAATGTGCTCTTAATATGAATTTATTTCCTAACTTTATAATAGTCTTCCTATAAAAATCAAAGTTATTTTATTGAATAAGAATGTTAGAATATAACCCCTGCTTTCACTGTATTTGATGTCGGTATAACTTGTGGAGGGGAAGGGGAAAAATAAATCGTTTAACTAGGGATACAGGTGGACCCATTGCAACAATGAGATGTACAAGTCGTTATGTTGAAAACGAATTTTACAACTTTCATGGGGAGGGGCGGGGAGGGGGGGAGTGGGAAGGATTGGGTAGGGGGGCGGGGGGGAGGATGGGAAGGGATGGGAAGGGGAAACAAAGGAGGACTACAATGCTTGATAAGAAATGTACTCATTATCTTGCCCATGTAATTGTAACCCCTCTATACAGTATTTTCACAATAAAAAAAAAATCTTAGAATAGTTTTCATAAAGCCACATCTTTAAGTTGTTTAATATGGTGGCATTTAAAGGATCTGTGTGGGCATTTAATGCAGTTATTAAAATAATGAACACGAGTTGAAGATGTAATACAGAAATGGAATGTATGTGGTTTGGCAGCTATTTGGATGTGAGTGGGAGGAAATGGAGCAGTCAAAGATGGCTCAGCAATTTCCAGCCTGAGTGACTGGTGCTGCGGACTGGCGCTGCCGTTTATAGAAACAAGGGTATTATGAGAGGAGAATGTATCCTTTATTGTACCAGAAGAGAGGTGATGAGTTCAGTTGTCACTCAAAGTTATGTGACTTTTTGTTCTAAGTGATAATTGCTTCACAAGGAAAGCTGCTTATCTTGACATTAAAACCACACAAAATACACTGATTTATTCAAAGGATGAATTTATGATATGTGAATTACATCTCAGGGTTTATACTGCTGCTTTATAATTGTACTTCATGTGAATTAGGGAGCTAAAAGATCTACTGTTGTCTATTTCACCTTATCAATGCATATTTTAAAACAAAAGAACATTCCTTTTTGAATTAAAACATCATAAGAATTTAAAACAACTTCATATATGGGAAGAAAAGCCAGCTTTCCTACTGAGTACAAAGTGGCAGACACTATAAACTATGACCTGTAAAATTTTTACTGAATGTTTCTTCTACGTTACTTAAATTCAATTCTTCCTCTTGCAAATGGGTCTATAACTCTAGGTCTAGCTTATTAAGAGTATATCATTACTTTAAAAAAATCCATACAGGTAGCTTGCAAAGGGTTTGAATCTAGAAATAGCTTGTGCACTTTCTTTCCATAGAAAGCAGCATTAGAAATTTAAATCACTGAGAAATTGTTTCTTGCACATACTGTCACAATGCTGGGAGAATTTATTTCTATATAATTACATCATATTTTACATTGGACCTAAAATAAAAGTGTGTGATCCATTGGTATGAGATCTTTTGCATAGATGAATGAGTCAACGATCTCTTGAATAAATCATTTTCATTTTAACTTACAATTACATGGAATTAACTTATTTATACACCTTTATTTTCCACTCATCTTTGATTGTGATTTTACTTCACAGCTTCTTCCTATGCTAATTTCCTTAAATAAATCCTGTAGTGTCTTGTGTGGGAAACTTATGCCATATCATATTGGTTAGCTTTCAATTGGGTTGAAATAGTATATTTTAGTAACTAGCATGTTTTTGAGTCAAGAATTTCAAAAGCTTTAATGTACTAGGTGATTACAATATTGTCTGAAATCACAAAATGATTAGTTTATTGAACAATTCTTGTAGTTTAGCCTAAATTAAATATGGTTCGTTTTTGGAAAAATTAGAAGATAATAAATTTAATATTTTGTATATTTCTTCCAGAAGATCAATACTGTTGGAACCAGTAATGCAGATGTCCCTTTGGCTGATCCCGGAATGTACCAATTGGATATTACATTAAGAAGGGGTCAAAGTTTAGCTGCCCGAGATCGAGGAGGTAAGAACATAATTTTTTCTATGTTTGTGACAAACTTTGTTTTCCTTAGGAATGCTTAAGTTTAAAAATTAATTGTAATATTTTAATTTTTGAAAGCTTGGGTTCAAAGATATACTTTGATACGTATTTGATCTTCTGACCATGAATGAGAAAGAAGGTTTTGGCTCAGGTTCCACAGTTCTGACTCACATGGCCCATACAGCATGTTCCCACCAAAGTGCTGAAAACGTGGACTCTGCAGCACATGTAACTTTGAAACAATTAGGTACATACACAAGATGGATATTTGAAGTCATACCAGAAATTATCTTTTAGTAGAATCAAGGATATTTTTGGCTACCTAGATTTGTTCCTTTAAATCTAAAATTATATTATCTCATCAAGACTCAAGTTCTTCGCAACTGAGACTAGATTAGACCTGGTAGTAGCTTCTAGGTGAATTAAGTGTTTATACGTTACAAGAAAAGACAAGATAAACCAAATGTTCTTTAATTCCCAGATTCCCAACCCTAAGGCAATCTCCTGATGAGCTAGGCAGAGTCCCGTGAAGGATTCTTTAAGCACAGGCTAGAGGCATAATCAGAGAATAGAGATCCCCAGTAGACTGGGAGAAGTCATTGCAAGATCCCAATACTAGCTGTGTATGCGTTAGAGACCAGGACCGCCTTTAGAGCTGCTGGTCCCTCAGGAATCTGAGCTTGAGGTTCAACTCATTCTAGCAGAAGGTAGGAGACTCCAAAAATCTATGTTAGTCATTGTCAAGACACATGAAGAGGTTTCTGACCTCCCGTAATTCTCTCTCCTCACCCTAATTGATGCTCGTATTTAAGGAGTAGAAGAACCAGATTAGGATTATAGTCTGTCATTTCTGTCTTCTATCTCTAAAGAAATGTAATAATTTAATATAATAGTAGATTTTTTTACCATGTTGAAACTACAAATAATAGGTTTAATTTTAAGAAAAGCTAATAAATAATAGATTATTTTAATTATTTTATTAACATATTAATTATATAAAATGGTTCACTAATATTTTCTCTTTTTTCTATTTTTCTTTCCTTTTTGTTTCTCTGTCATTTTGACATGCTGCCAAGGAGTTTTGAGCACTTCCTCAGTTATTGGCAATGCAAAATATTCTAGACTCATCTTGTGCTTTTCCACCTCAACAATTTTCTCCAAGATCTCTAGTTACTTGTTAAGGAACATTGTGGTATAAATTTTTTTTTGTGTCAGTTGAGGAGCTTGAACTCAAGGCCCAGGTGCTGTCCCTGAGCTTTTTCACTCAAGGCTAACACTCTACCACTTTGACCTACAGCTTCACTTACAGTTTTTTTGGTAGTTAATTGGAGATAAAGAGTATCATGGATTTTCCTGCAGGAATTGGTTCAAACTGGCTTCAAATCCTCCAATCTCAGCTTCCTGAGTAGCTAGGATTATAGGCATGAGCCACCAGTGCCAGGTGCATTCCTGATTTTTATTGCTCTATTTTGACAATATTTCAGTAATTTGTTAATTATTAAATAAAATTGGGAAATGAAAAGAACTAAAAATAGAATACAACTATACCCCTTCAGGAAACCTCTAAGTCATTCTGTAAAATAGTAGTAGAATATATGTCGTTACATTCAAGATGAAAGGAACTATATACATAGATATGCTTTAGGGAAAGATCATGGTATATAAAACTGGTGTAATTGCTAGGAGCTAGCCTATAAGTAAACATATGGTAGACAATGAGAGCCAGTTTTCTCAGGGTTGGAGAATGAAGTTATAAATACCCTGTGTACCTTTATAAGAACAATAATAAAAAAGAACATTAAAAAATTTTAAAGTTACAAATACAGAAAATAAAAAAGGCTAGAATAAATCTTGAGATGTTGCAGGTATCAGTTCAGTTTTAACTGATGCATTTTACTGTCCATCAGAAATATACCAGAAGATCATGTAAATGGATGTGTTTGTGGATGGGTGTTTTCTTTTTCATTTTTTAAGATTTTTTTATTGTAAAGATACTGTACAGAGGGGTTACAGTTACATAAGAAATGAGTACATTTCCTATTGAGCATTGTTACCTCCTCCTTTGTTTTTCTCCTACTATCCCTTCCCTTACCACCTCCCCAACTCCTCCCTCCCCCTACAAGTTGTAAAGTTCATTTTCAACATAGTGTCTTGGACATCCCATGGTTACAATGGGTCAACCTGTATCCTTGTTTCAGCATTTTGTTATTTCCCTTCCCTCCCCAAATTAGAAAAATGTATTTAAAGATGCAGGGCACTGGAATCAAATACAGTGAAAACGGGATATACCATGGGGGAAGAACATATGAAAGAAACAAAAAAAAAATCACATAGTACATTAAAAACAACAGCGACAAAGATAAAACCTTTTGTGTCCCTATCTTGGGGTTCATTTTTCTCAGCATCATCTTGTATGGTCATATATACATTGCTTTTGACCTTTTCTGCTTGTCTTGTAAGATTATCCTAGATGGATACTATTCAGTGTATGTTTTCTACGTGTATGTTTAGAGAAGGCCTGAGAGCTAGCAGCATACCTAAGCTCCTCGTATTTGCTTTTAAATACAATGTTCCTTTTTTTAGGCTTTTTTTTTCTTTTTTGTGAACACACTGTACAGAGGGGTTGCAATTACATGGGCAGGTTAATGCGTACATTTCTTATCAAGCATTGCAGCCTCCTCCTTTGTTTACCCTTCACATCCCTTCCCAGCCTCCCCCCAACCCCCCCACCCAATCCTCCCCACTTCCCCCCCCCCCCCCACCAACATTGTAAAGCTAGTTTTCTACATGACAACTTGTACTTCTCATTGTTGCAACAGGTCCACCTGTATCCTTAAACGACTTGTTTTTCCCCATCTCCTCCACAAGTTATACTGACATCAAATATAGTGAAAGCAGGGGTTATACTGTGGGGGAGGGACATACAAAGCTACAAAGAGATAATCTTATAAATGCGTTAGAAACAAATGCATGAAAGGAAAAAACATTAAAATACATATCTAAGGATTCATTTTCCTAACATCACATTATCTGGCCTTTTCCGCTTGACTCATACATATACTAGATATTGCAAATAAGGGAAACCATGGGACCTATGTTTCTTTGGGCCTGGCTTACTTCACTTAATATAATTTTTTCCAAGTTTTTCCATTTCCTAACAAATGGGGCAATGTTCCTTAACAAGTAAGTAGAAATATTGGAGAAATGGTTGAGATGGAAAAGCATAAGAGCCTAAAACATTTTGCATTGCAAGTAAGTGAGGAAGTACTCAAAACTCCATGGCAGGGTATCAACATGACAGAGAAGCAAACTCAAGTAAATTCCTCATGGCCAAAGATTGTATAATTGTAGCAACAAAACAAGTAATAATTTCAATGAATACTAACACGTGGAATGAATTAAATATCTTCATAGTGATAAGTAAATAATTAAATGGATGAGTATATAGGAGAGAAGATGTATGTTTTCTTTTTAAAATTATTATCTTTAAATACTGTACAAAAATGTTTTTTGGGGAGCGGAAGGCAAAAAACAAATTATTTCTATAGGGATACAGGTGGACCCATTGCAACAATGAGATGTACAAGATGCTATGTCCAAAAACAAACTTTACAATTTAGGTGGGGGTGGGGGTGGGGGGGAATGTAGTTGTGGAGATGGGAGGAAAGGGATGGTAGGGGAAAAACAATGCTTGATAAGAAATATACTCATTACCTTGCTCATGTGATTGTAACTTCTCTGTACAGTATTTTCACAATAAAAAACTTATTAAAAATGTTTTAATTCAACATGTCAATTTATTAGAACAATGTGCACCACCCCTTGATGTCACTTTTGACCAGTGTCATCTGTGCTATCATTCTCCCCACCACCATCTATCTATCACAACCCCATTAATTCCCTCAAGTTTCCTAGTTCCATTTTCACTTGTGTGTGTGTGTGCGCGCGCGCACACATGCGCGCGCACATTGGAGCTTAAGCTCAAGTCCTTGAACTCTTACTTGGCTTTTTAAATTTTATTTTTATTGGATTTAAATGGTTATACAAAGGAGTTGCCATTCAACAAAGCAGTTTAGGAATACAATCTATCTGATCAGTATTACCCCTTTCAACCTTCTCATACATCCCTCTCCTGGCCCTTTCTCTTCCCTCCTTTCCCTTAACTTCAAAGGATATGCATTGGTTTTTTTGACTGCATTTTCCCCTTCTCCTCTTCATTTGTCTATCTTTTTCCTCTTGATGTCACATTCCCCACCTAAGTACCTGGTTCCTGCTGAACTTTGAAAGATCTAGAAAAAAAATTAAGTGAAGTAAGTCAGGTCCAGAAAGAGAAAGGATGCATATTTTCCCTTATATGTGGAAGCTAAATTTAGTTTATTACCTGTAAGTAAATATATTGGATGTTATGCAATTATAAGTAAATATATTGGATGTTATGAAATTATATAAAAATATATTAACTGAAATATGGTAGATTCAAGGAAGAATTCAAATAAGGTCATTCCTTAGAAAGAAAATCACTTGGTGTTTTTTGCTCACAGCTGGTACTCTACCACTTTCGGTTTTTATTTTGTTTTGTTTGTGTTTGTTTTTTGGGTGTTTTTTTTTTTTTTTTGCTGGTTAATTAGTATCAGACTCTTGAGGATTTGTCTGTGAAGGCTGGCTCTGAACATTGATCCTAGATCTCAGCCTCCTGAGTAGCTAGCAATATAAGAATGAACCACCAGAGCCCAGTGTTATAGGTTTTCTTATGGTAGAATTCCAGTGCACAAATGCAGAAGTGAAGATAGAAATAGAAAAAACACTCTTAACAAACACCACAGTCAAAATTATTTTATGAAGAGATCATCAGAAGATGTGAAAACTGTATGTGTTGAAATTATGATAGGGAGTAAGAGTTTCAGCACATTCAAGTATTTCTGTGTACAGTTTACAAAGTGAAAAATAGTGCTCACATGTGGAAAACCATAATCAAAACCACT